ATTCAGGATTTCTACAAATCCGATGCCTTAGTGGTGATGAAAAGATCTCAACCCAAGGGGCGTCCAAAGAGGGCTCCAAGAGGCCGCAATTATCGATTTTCCATACGAAAATTATCCCGGCAAAGCAACCTAACAGCGATGTGTAGGAGCATATCTGGCAGCATCCCCCTTAAGATTCAGATGAGAATCCAGTTGTAGAGTTCTGCTGTTCTCGCAGTCGTAGTCGCATTCGCGATGACAGTCGCAGTGACCTGCATTAGCCTCAGCCTCAGCCTCTAGCCTGCCTCAGCATCAGCCTCAGCCTCAGCTTCAGCCTGCCTCAGCCTCAGCCTCAGCCTGCTCCTGCATCAGCCTCAGTCTGCCTGCAGCCTCGGCCTCAGCCTCAGCCTGCCTCAGCCTGAGCCTGCCTCAGCCTCAGCCTCAGCCTCAGCCTGCCTCAGCATCAGCCTGCCTCAGCCTCAGCCTCAGCCTGCCTCAGCCTCAGCCTCAGCCTGCTTCAGCCTCAGCCTCAGTCTGCCTTCAGCCTCGGCCTCAGCCTCAGCCTGCCTCAGCCTCAGCCTGCATCAGCCTCAGCCTCAGCCTCAGCCTGCCTCAGCCTCAGCCTCAGCCTCAGCCTCAGCCTCAGCCTCAGCCTTCAGCCTCAGCCTCAGTCTGCCTTCAGCCTCGGCCTCAGCCTCAGCCTGCCTCAGCCTCAGCCTGCATCAGCCTCAGCCTCAGCCTCAGCCTGCCTCAGCATCAGCCTGCCTCAGCCTCAGCCTCAGCCTGCCTCAGCCTCAGCCTTCAGCCTCAGCCTCAGTCTGCCTTCAGCCTCGGCCTCAGCCTCAGCCTGCCTCAGCCTCAGCCTGCATCAGCCTCAGCCTCAGCCTCAGCCTGCCTCAGCATCAGCCTGCCTCAGCCTCAGCCTCAGCCTGCCTCAGCCTCAGCCTCAGCCTGCTTCAGCCTCAGCCTCAGTCTGCCTTCAGCCTCGGCCTCAGCCTCAGCCTGCCTCAGCCTCAGCCTGCATCAGCCTCAGCCTCAGCCTCAGCCTGCCTCAGCCTCAGCCTGCCTCAGCCTGCCTCAGCCTCAGCCTCAGCCTGCTTCAGCCTCAGCCTCAGTCTGCCTTCAGCCTCGGCCTCAGCCTCAGCCTGCCTCAGCCTCAGCCTCAGCCTCAGCCTGCCTCAGCATCAGCCTGCCTCAGCCTCAGCCTCAGCCTGCCTCAGCCTCAGCCTCAGCCTCAGCCTGCTCAGCCTCAGCCTCAGTCTGCCTTCAGCCTCGGCCTCAGCCTCAGCCTGCCTCAGCCTCAGCCTGCATCAGCCTCAGCCTCAGCCTCAGCCTGCCTCAGCATCAGCCTGCCTCAGCCGCAGCCTCAGCCTGCCTCTGCCTCAGCCTCAGCCTCAATCTGCCGTCAGCCTCGGCTTCAGTCTCAGCCTGCCTCTGCCTCAGCCTGCATCAGCCTCAGCCTCAGCCTGCCTCAGCCTCAGCCTGCCTCAGCCTCAGCCTCAGCCTCAGCCTGCCTCAGCCTCAGCCTCAGCCTGCTTCAGCCTCAGCCTCAGTCTGCCTTCAGCCTCGGCCTCGCCTCAGGCCTGCCTCAGCCTCAGCCTGCTCAGCCTCAGCCTGCCTCAGCATCAGCCTGCCTCAGCCTCAGCCTGCCTGCAGCTCAGCCTCAGCCTGCTTCAGCCTCAGCCTCAGTCTGCCTTCAGCCTCGGCCTCAGCCTCAGCCTGCCTCAGCCTCAGCCTGCATCAGCCTCAGCCTCAGCCTCAGCCTGCCTCAGCATCAGCCTGCCTCAGCCTCAGCCTCAGCCTGCCTCAGCCTCAGCCTCAGCCTGCATCAGCCTCAGCCTGAGTCTGCCTTCAGCTTCGGCCTCAGCCTCAGCCTGCCTCAGCCTGCCTCAGCCTCAGCATCAGCCTGCCTCAGCATTCAAAATGTGGCCAGGGAATGGAATTCTGGGAACTCGAAGAACACGAAGTGGCCTACAGTTTGCTCCGGGCATTCAAAATCATACCCAGGAATGGAGTTCTGGGAAGTCCAAGAGCACGAAGTGGCCTACAGTTGGCTCCGGGCATCCAAAATGTGGCCCGGGAATGGAGTTCTGGGAACTCGAAGACCACGAAGTGGCCTACAGTTGGCTCCGGGCATCCAAAATGTGGCCCGGGAATGGAGTTCTGGGAACTCGAAGACCACGAAGTGGCCTACAGTTGGCTCCGGGCATCCAAAATGTACGCTGGGAATGGAGTTCTGGGAACTCGAAGACCACGAAGTGGCGTACAGTTGGCTCCGGGCATTCAGAATGTGGCCCGGGAATGGAGTTCTGGGAGGTCGAAGAATGGAGCTCTGGGAGGTCGAAGAGCACGAAGTGTGTGATTGTTTGCGAAAAACGAAGTTCCCCGGCAATCCCCAACGGCCCCCCAACGGCCCCCCAACGGCTCCCCAACGGCTGCCCAGACCCCCCTGTGGAGTAATGTGCTGCTCTCTTTTTACACCACTAGAAACCTATCAGTCTTCGCTGTTAGGTAAAAACGTATTTTTTAGCATATACGGCTTTTCTCCTTTCACGGCGTTGACGACGGCCCAAGAGGCCCCCAAGACCGCCCCAAGACGGCCCGAGAGGCTCCCATGAGGTCCCCAAAACGGCCCAAGAGGGCCCCAAGACGGCCCAAGAGGCGCTCAAGACGGCCCAAGAGGGCGCCAAGACTGCCCCGAGAGGGGGACCACGAACCGAAAAGTCCAGCCTTTCGCCCCAAGACGCTCCCAGGAGGCCCCTAGAGCCCCCCAAGAAGCCCCAAGAGGCCCCCAAGAGGCGTCCCAAGAGGCCACCGGGAGGCGAAAATCATTGATTTCCTGTGGGAACTATCCCGGCAAAGCAACCTAACATCGATGTGTAGGAGCATATCTGGAAGCATTCCCCTTAAGATTCGGATGAGAATCCAGTTGTAGAATTCTGCTGTTCTCGCAGTCGTAGTCGCATTCGCGATGACAGTCGCAGTGGCAACGGCAGTCGCAGTCACAGCCTCAGCCTCAGCCTGCCTCAGCCTCAGCCTCAGCCTGCCTCAGCCTCAGCCTGCCTCAGCCTCAGCCTCAGCCTGCTTCAGCCTCAGCATCAGTCTGCCTTCAGCCTCGGCCTCAGCCTCAGCCTGCCTCAGCCTCAGCCTGCATCAGCCTCAGCCTCAGCCTCAGCCTGCCTCAGCATCAGCCTGCCTCAGCCTCAGCCTCAGCCTGCCTCAGCCTGCCTCAGCCTCAGCCTGCTTCAGCCTCAGCCTCAGTCTGCCTTCGCCTCGGCCTCAGCCTCAGCCTGCCTCAGCCTCAGCCTGCATCAGCCTCAGCCTCAGCCTCAGCCTGCCTCAGCATCAGCCTGCCTCAGCCTCAGCCTCAGCCTGCCTCAGCCTCTGCCTCAGCCTGCTTCAGCCTCAGCCTCAGTCTGCCTTCAGCCTCGGCCTCAGCCTCAGCCTGCCTCAGCCTCAGCCTGCCTCAGCCTCAGCCTCAGCCTCAGCCTGCCTCAGCCTCAGCCTCAGCCTCAGCCTGCCTCAGCCTCAGCCTCAGCCTGCTTCAGCCTCAGCCTCAGTCTGCCTTCAGCCTCCGCCTCAGCCTCAGCCTGCCGCAGCCTCAGCCTGCATCAGCCTCAGCCTCAGCCTCAGCCTGCCTCAGCCTCAGCCTCAGCCTCAGCCTCAGCCTCAGCCTCAGCCTCAGCCTTCAGCCTCGGCCTCAGCCTCAGCCTGCATCAGCCTCAGCCTGCCTCAGCCTCAGCCTCAGCCTGCCTCAGCCTCAGCCTCAGCCTGCCTTCAGCCTCAGCCTCAGCCTCAGTGCCTTCAGCCTCGGCCTCCGCCTCAGCCTGCCTCAGCCTCAGCCTGCATCAGCCTCAGCCTCAGCCTCAGCCTGCCTCCTCAGCATCAGCCTGCCTCAGCCTCAGCCTCAGCCTGCCTCAGCCAGCCTCAGCCTCAGCCTTCAGCCAGCCTCAGCCTCAGCCTCAGCCTCAGGCCTCAGCCTCATCTGCCTCAGCTCAGGCATCTCTGCCTCTGCGCCTCAGCCTCAGCCTCAGCATTCAGCATCAGCCTGCCTCAGCCTCAGCCTCAGCCTGCCTCAGCCTCAGCCTCAGCCTCAGCCTCAGCCTGCCTCAGCCTCAGCTGCCTTCAGCCTCGGCCTCCGCCTCAGCCTGCCTCAGCCTCAGCCTGCATCAGCCTCAGCCTCAGCCTCAGCCTCAGCCTCAGCCTGCCTCAGCCTCAGCCTCAGCCTGCTTCAGCCTCAGCCTCAGTCCCCTCAGGGCCTCAGCCTCAGCCTGCCTCAGCCTCAGCCTGCATCAGCCTCAGCCTCAGCCTCAGCCTGCCTGCCTCAGCATCAGCCTGCCTCAGCCTCAGCCTCAGCCTGCCTCAGCCTCAGCCTCAGCCTGCTTCAGCCTCAGCCTCAGTCTGCCTTCAGCCTCGGCCTCAGCCTCAGCCTGCCTCAGCCTCAGCCTGCATCAGCCTCAGCCTCAGCCTGCCTCAGCATTCAAAATGTGGCCCGGGAATGGAGTTCTGGGAACTCGAAGAACACGAAGTGGCCTACAGTTGGCTCCGGGCATTCAAAATCATGCCCAGGAATGGAGTTCTGGGAACTCGAAGACCACGAAGTGGCCTACAGTTGGCTCCGGGCATCCAAAATGTGGCCCAGGAATGGAGTTCTGGGAAGTCGAAGAACACGAAGTGGCCTACAGTTGGCTCCGGGCATCCAAAATGTGGCCCGGGAATGGAGTTCTGGGAAATAGAAGAGCACGAAGTGGCCTACAGTTAGCTCCGGGCATCCCAAATGTGGCCCGGGAATGGAGTTCTGGGAAGTCGAAGAGCACGAAGTGGCGTACAGCAGGCTCCGGGCATTCAGAATGTGGCACGGGAATGGAGTTCTGGGAAATCGAAAAGCACGAAGTGTGTGACTGTATGCGAAAAACGATCCCCCCCGGCAAACCCCAACGGCCCCCCAACGGCCCCCAACGGCTCCCCAACGGCTGCCCAGACCCCCCTGTGGAGTAATGTTGGAGTAATGTGCTGCTCTCTTTTGACACTACTAGAAACCTATCAGTCTTCGATGTTAGGTAAAAATCGGTTCGCGGTCCCCCTCTGGGCGCCGTCTTGGGGCGCTCTTGAGGCACACTTGGGTTGTCTGGGGAGCCTCCTGGGCCGTCTTGAGGCCCTCTTCGGGGTCTCGCGGTCCGTCTTCGAGCGATCTGAAGGGCCGCCGATGCCGCGAGGGAACGCTGGGCAGCGGGAAAAGCGAGAACGCCAAAATCCTTCAAAAACCATCGGACAACGTACGAATGTTGCCTCCTAGGGCCCTCTTGGGGAGCCTCTTGAGGCCGTCCTGGAGCGCGCTCGTCGGCCGTCTTTTTTTGTTGTTCCTGCACGCTGCCTGCCGGAGGCCTGATGCCTGCCGCAGGAGAAGGCTGCGGCCAGTCCCAGCGGATGGCCCCTCGACCCACCCGCCGTCCGTGGACGGAGCTCTACACTTCTCGAGCTCGGGTATACCACCCCCCATGCCCGAGAAAGAGTTGCCCCTCCTCTTCCTTCCGCTATATGTATAAAAAGGAATGCGGAGGATGGGCGGCAAGGAACGAGGACGCGCGCAGTGCGCGGGAGAGGGGATGCGATGTGGAGGAGAAAGGATAAAGGGGGAGGCATGAGCACGGGCGGAAGGAAAGCGCAATCACTGACTGCACAATTCAGAAAACAAGCGCTGGTCTTCGGTGAACGAACTCGAACGAGGAATGTTCTGTATGTCCGCGATGGTGCCCCACATTTGCTTCACCGCCTGCTCGCCATACGTCTCACGCTGTTGCGTCTCGAGCCTGTCAAACGAACTGACTCCCTTCTGCTTTCTAGAACTGTTCTTGAACCCGTGTCGATCAATGTTGAGATGCTGCGCCATCCGATCACGCACCCAAACCATTCTAGCGCTTTGGTCCTCCAGAAGGACGCACAAAATCTGCTGGTGATCAAACACGTGAGCCCAACGGCGGAACATACCCAACCCTTCCAAGGCTGCATATGCATCATTCGCCAGCGGGCCACACAGTCTGACAAGGTGCTCTTCCATGGCGGCCGTCGCAGGAAGGGGGAAGCTCGGATCGTAGATCATGCGTTCCGTCAACTCGAAGGTGAGCAAAATGTCATGTCGGCACTTTGTCACGCGACGGAAACCGTTCAGCCTGGCGTTCGTCCACTTAGTGAATGTCTTGTTGCGTATTTTCTGACTGCGAACCTGGCCGAGATACCGTGATATGAAAATCTCGGCTGGCTCACGCCACGTGATAAACAGTTTGAGCCATGGGCCAAAAATAACCCTCGCACGGAAGGGGACCAGCCGGTGAGCCGAGTAAAGGGGAGTTTTCTCCCCGAACCAGTGGGTTCTTCGCTTCGCCATCGCGTCCTGGGAAAAGAAAGCCGCGTACGCTCTCTGCCTTTCAAAGGCCCTTGACTGGTTGTTCAGCACGTAAAGTTCGCTGTCGCAGCATTTCTGCGAATTTAGGTGTGCGTCGCCCACAAAAACACTTGGATGAGCGTTCAATTCGAGAACGAGGTTGGTACTCCCAGATCCCCCAGGTCCGACGCCAAGGAAAAAGTTGGGGAACTCATGCGTGTCGCGACTGTGGGTCGACGAGCATTGGCCCTCAAAACAGAAGGCGCCCTTGTCGCTGAAAGATAACGCATGCGCATTTGAACCACCAGACTCCGAGAATCTCATCAAACCAGTTGTAGTTGTAGGCGTCCACGGTAATGCATCCCTTTTCATACACAGGCTACTAACAACCCATAGCTAAGCACTGTTCGAAACGGGCACGATCACCCGAGCACTGCACCACATGTTGGATATAGCAATCAGATTGTCTTCCTGTCCAAAGCCGCCGCCTTCAACCACAATGGATTGAGGCAAAAGTTTACGGAGGGCGTTCGTCGGCCGTCTTGAAAGCATCTTGGGCGTTTTCGGGGCATCTTGGGACCGTCTTGGGCCCTTCTGTGACCCCCTATTAGCCTGTCGTGGCCCGTTTCGGGGCGGGCCCGGGCCGTCTCGGGAGCTCTGGGGCCCCCCAAAAACCCCGGGGGCGCCCATGGGGGGGCACAGGGACCAGCCCGGCACCCCCCTGGCCTATCCAAGAGGCCCCCAAGAAGCTTTCAAGAGGGCCGACGAGGATCCAAGAGATCTCCCAAGGTGGCCCCAAGAGGCACAGCTCATTGTTTTACGATTGGGCTTTGACGGGTTTTAATTTTTCCTGCCTTTTGGCATCCCGATGCTCCAAGACGGCCCAAGAGGCTTCCAATGCCGCTCCAATATAAAGGAAGAGGCCTTCAAGAGGGCCCCAAAACGGCCCGCGAGGGCCCCAAGACGGTGCTTGAGGCGCCCAAGACGGCCCGAGAGGGCCCCAAGAGCCCCAAGAGAGGCCCAAGAAGGGGAACGCGACCCAACAGCAGAGCGTTCCCCCCAAAAGGCCCACAGGAGGCCGTTAGAGGCCCCCAAGTGGTCCGGCGAGGACCCCAAAAGCTTCCGAGGGCCCAAAAGGCCCCTAGGACCCCCCTCTTGGCCGCCCCCGACGGGAGAGGGAGAGGCGGGGGGGGGGGCGAAGGAGCGGAGGAGAGCGAGGATCGAGGAGGATCGAGGAAGGGGGGTCCAGGATCGAGGAGGATCCAGGATCGAGGAGGACGGAGAAGGACTTTGGCCTCTTCGGGGCCTCCTTGGGGAGCTCTTTGGCCACTTGGAGCCGTATTGGGGCCGTCTTTGGGCCTGTTGGAACCATCTTAAGAGCCATCTCGAACGATCTTACACTATCTTGAGCCATCTTGGAGCTCATCTTGGGCTCTCTGACGCGCTCTTGAAGCCATCTTGTGGCCAAAAGAGCCGCCCGACCGCTCGGGGGCCCCCCCGCCCAGGTCCCTTGAAAGGGCTCTGCTGTCCTCAGGCGTCATCTTCACTGATTTCTGACTCTGGGTCGACCTCCGGAGCCCCGGCCGCGGCCCTGAGATAGGCCGCGAGTTCGTCCCGGGAGGCTGGGAGCAGCCAGAGCGGGCCCCACTCGGGCCGCGGTGCCACGCCGAGGACGACCCTCAGGAGGTAGTCGGCCGTCAGCCAACCGCAACTCCCAAGATGAGATTATCGTGGCCAGGCTGCGGCCACCGCGCCTGGTGCGGCCACCCCGGGCCACCATGCAAGGATGGAGGGGGGGTGGTTTTCCTCCAACGCGCCCTTGAGCCAGATCGGCCAAGATGGAAAAAGGTTGGGGCCAATCCGCATGCAGGCGTAATGTCGCACCGCATTTGGATTGGCCCCCTCCCAGGTTCATGCAGGCGTAGGGTCGCACCGCATTCCCCTGAGAGGTGCAAGCACGAGCATGCTCTTCCTGCTGCTGGTGACGTCTACCCGGCCTACGCCGAAAACCAGCGTGCCGGCCCATCCGCTATCGCTGTCTGGTTTTGCCGGCCGGTGTCCCCGGGTCCCCGGGCCACCGAGCCCTGTGGCAATCTAAACGGTCGCCGGCCGAGGGCCGAGCGAGGGGCCAAAAAATCGAACGTACAATCCATGCAACCTGCATTCATTGCCCGCCCTCCCGGGCAACCAGGTTACGTACACAGCTTTGACGGTGACCTTTTTGAGGCCGCCGGAGGCCGTCAAAGGTCACCGGCCAGAAGTCCCCAGCCAACACGCGGCCAGGGGAAACAAACGCAACGTGCTATCACCCGAGGCTGGCTCGACGCAAGCTGTGGGAACCCCAACCCGGGGCACAAGCAACAACACTTGGACCAAATTTCCCGGCCCCTGTTTTGAATGCGAATTCGGGCACGCACGCTGCTGATGATGCTCGTGCTACGCTCCCTGACCCACGCTCCTCCTCTTCGGCAGGGCCCAGCAGCCCGTCCGGAGCTTCGCGAGTTCATCGACTCGCTGGGCCATGGGAGCGCTGGCATCGAAAAAATTATCCCAGCAAAGCAACCTAACAGCGATGTGTAGAAGCATATCTGAAAGCATTCCCCTTAAGATTCAAATGAAATCAGTTGTAGAATTCTGCTGTTCTCGCAGTCGTAGTCGCATTCGCGATGACAGTCGCAGCGGCAACGGCAGTCGCAGTCACAGCCTCAACCTCAGCCTGCCTCAGCCTCAGCCTCAGCCTGCCTCAGCCTCAGCCTGCCTCAGCCTGCTTCAGCCTCAGTCTCAGTCTGCCTTCAGCCTCGGCCTCAGCCTGCCTCAGCCCCAGCCTGCATCAGTCTCAGCCTCAGCCTCAGCCTGCCTCAGCATCAGCCTGCCTCAGCCTCAGCCTCAGCCTGCCTCAGCCTCAGCCTCAGTCTGCTTCAGCCTCAGCCTCAGTCTGCCTTCAGCCTCGGCCTCCGCCTGCATCAGCCTCAGCAAACATACAAAAATAAAAAGCAATATAAAAAAAAACAAATAACAAAAAAAACAAAAAATCAGCATACCACGCATCAACTGCCTCGGCCGCAGCATCAGCCTGCCTCAGCATTCAAAATGTAGCCCAGGAACGGAGTTCTGGGAACTAGAAGAACACGAAGTGGCCTACAGTTGGCTCTGGGCATTCAAAATGTGGCCCGGGAATGGAGTTCTGGGAACTAGAAGAACACGAGTGTCTGCAAGTTCAGACGTGAGTTTGGACTGGTCGCTCTGCAGAGCGCTGATGGCATCGTTGGACGTCTTCAGAGCGGACTCGAGCTTCTTGGTGGCCTGGTCGCCCACGAGGGCTGTCTGCATGGTCTTGATCGCCTCGCGGGCTGTCTGCATGTCCTCCTGTAGGCGGGACTGCTGGTCTGTAAGCTCAAGGATAGACTTCTTCATCGTCGACTCAGTTCCGATGACCTTCTTCACGGCCTCGATCGCCTCTGAATGGCGGCAGGCCATCTCAGCCATATTCATTTTGGCGTTGTGCGGCCCGTCGGTGACCTCCTTCACCTGGGACTGGAGCGTGTTAATCTGCGCCTCGGTGCGCAGCTTGTCGGCAACCTGCGCATCGGTAGCCTCCTTCACGTCGGACTTGACCTTGTTGATCGATTCCGTCAGCGCCGCAGACGTTGCCGCGATTGCCGCAGACGTTGCCGCGACCCCCGAGAGTTCCCCACGCACTTTGAAGATCTCCTCGTAGACGGCAGCAAGATTATCCTCGTAGCTGTTGCTGCTGACGCCCATGGGGTAGTTGCCGCTGGCGCCGTTGCCACCGCTGCCGCCCGGGCCCATGCCAGTGGCATTGTTCTTGCCCTTGCCCTTGGGGTCGGTCTTGCCCTTGCCCTTGGGGTCGGAGGCGCTCTTGCCCTTGCCCTTGGGGTCGGAGGAGTTTTGCCAATTCCATTGGGGTTGGAGACTCCCGCCGCCATTCGTCGCCTGGCCCTTGCTCGTGCCCTTGGCATCGGAGGGGCCGCCCCCTGGCCCCTGGTCTTGCGGGTGGGCCATGTGGGCACCCGCCCTTACGAGCCACGGGTCCCCGCCGGGCTGGCCCTGGTCATCGTCGGTCGGCGGGGTGAACTCATCCCAGCGATGCGCAGGATTCGGTCGCTGCGAACCCTCATCGATGACGATGTTGTTCTGCTCGCACCACCTCCAGACTTTGTTAATGTGAGTTTTTTTGGTCAAGTGCCCTTTATCCTGCACTGGTTGTTTGCAGGGCCTGCACTCGTACATCTTCCACTCAGGCGTGAACTTAAACCACGATCCCTCCCTCAGCTCGCCATTGGAGGTGTACAGCTCGGGAGATGGAGGAATCATAGCGGCTATGGGCTAAACAAAAAAAAAAAAAAAAAAACCCCGAAAAAAAAAAAAAAAAAAAAAAAAATAAAAAGAAAAAAAAAAAAACAAAAAATAAAAAAAAAACAAAAAAATAGAAACAAAAAAAACAAAATACACAAACAAAAAAAAAAAATAACAACAAAAAAAAAAAAAAAAAAAACAAAATAATATAAAAAAAAAAAAAAAAAAAAAAAGAAGGCTACAGTCGCCCGTCGCGCGCCACTTGCTGGCGAGGCCGCGGGAATGCGCGCGCGCGCTCCTGTGAAGCCAAACGGCTACAATGGCTACGGAGGAACCATAGTCGGCCTGATGCCTGATGCCACATCGTGGCCATACTGGTTCAGGAGTTCAGGACACGGTCACTGGTGACTGGCCATCGTGGCAGACTGGCCCGATGAGGGGGTCCCGAGGAGGGGCCCCCTCCCTCCTCCTCCTCTCGCCCTTTCCCCTTTCCTCTCCCTCCGACCCCTCCAATCCCCCATCCCCCCCCACCCACAGCCCAAGGCCCAAGGCCCCAGGCCCACCCGAGGCCCGAGGCCCATGTCCCAAAGCCCCACAGGGAATCCCACCCAGGGCCCCAAGGCCCCGAGGCCACCAATTTCGGCACACCCTTCGCACGTTTCGTTGGCCGTTGGCCCGATGGGGAGCTCCGCCCAAAAGCCTCATGGGAGAGAAAAGGAAGAGGAGGAGGAAGACGAGGACGAGGCGGAGGATCAGGGGGATCAGGAGATCAGGAGGGGCATAGGGGCATAGGGTGGGCATAGGGCATAGGGCATAGGGTATAGGGGGAGGGCGTAAGGTGTAGCGGTGTAGGGTGTAGGATGTAGGGTGTCGGAGGTAGGAGGTAGGGGGGTGGGAAGGAGGAGGGTAGGATGTCAGTGCGGACGGCGGGCGGCCGTCGGCCCGCGCGTTCGCGGGCGGCCAGCGCCCCCCGGCCCAGCTCGGCGCTCGGGCCTGGTCGCACAGCAGAAAGAGCTCGTCGAAGTAGAAGAGCGAGTGCGAGGCCACGGCGAAATAAGAGTAAGGGCGCAGGATCGCCCATCAGGGCTCTGTTGCACACCCAGATCCATTTTCCCAGGCCGTGAGGGCAAGGCCAGACTCGAGGCCGCTAAGCGCCATGCGCTAAGCTCGAGGTTGGTCTGCGTGCGCTGCGGTGCCAGAGCAGGTGCCATCATATCCATCTATGAGCCACCTCACGAGAACCCTGTGCACAGCCTCTACGGGTTCTTTACCGCACCTCCAACCCCTGGTCCTGGAGCACCGCTCCTTATGCTGGGGATTCGTACATAGAGCACT